GATCATATATATACACATACATACACATAGATAATAATGATTTTGGATACAGTATCCGATACAGCTCTTGAGCTGGTGAGTTTAGAAGGCCATGGTTGGGAAGCTGACTGATCTTCATTTGAGCCATTGCACTTCAGAGTCACAATCCCTATTCCCAGAAAAGGAGTGTCAAAACGAGCAATGACTCAAGGGAATGGACATGAAATGGACGCTCAAACTTGAAAGTCTCTGTTGGCATTGGAGTCTTTCGTAGGTTCACCAATAGCTTCAACACCAACAATCCTGCCACCGACATGAAGCCTTTGTTCCTCAACGACTATGAGGCTTGCTACATCGGTGATTTGTGACTTGAGTGCCTTTGCCTTTTCCATGCCTCACAGGAACACTTCAAGAGCACACCAGTCTTCATTGGCGAGTACCATTCAACGCACGTGAGCACCAAGAAGGATCGATCTTGTTGGAAGTCATTGTGCGGCAACAGCACACCCTGCACGCTGTCTGAAGGACATCGAGGAAGTGATGGACGTTGTCAAGAACAGTTCTTTGGTTGTTGGCTCAGACAACAGTCTGCATGATCTGCATGCATGACGACAGTCTGTAGCATTTTTGGATCCACTTCCGCCTCCCTGGAGATGGAAGGAAACATTTTTCAGGTCGGCATCAGCTTCTTTGAGTTCCAAGTCCGCTACGACAAGGGTGGCTCGGAGATGGATTTTGGGATGTGCGTGTCTCAGACTTCCGGCACATTCACCACAGAGTCTATACACAGAACATCAAGAGCGATGGCCTCCAACCTGCTAGTGATGGCCACTCAAGTGTGTAACTCTGATGTGAACTCTGATGTAACTTGGGATTTCTACTTTCATCACTTGGTGGATCAGAGGACTTGTGACATCAGACTTTGAAGACGGGTTCTTCCGGTGCTTCCATCTTGGATGGACCCGAAGCCCTCAGGTTTGGGCTTGGCCAACAAAAGATCACGACGATGGACTTTTTTGGTGTAGAATTCCCTGTGTGGTCGAGGGCTTGGGATTGCGAGTTCTCAGTCTCAGTGTCTCTAGAGGGTGAATGTGCTCGGATTACTCTCACAGTTTCCAATGTCAACTTGTTTGTCTTTTTTGTCACCTTCTCGAGTAATTATATATATATATGCAAAGCGTTCAACTGCCCCGAGTGATTCGGGCGGCAGCATGCTGTATTCTAAATTCTGCTCTGGAAGTGTCAGTTTGCTGAAGTTGCTCGAGGTGTTTGATGAAGATGCAAGACAAGAAATCACCAGGGGAAACAGTGGTGGATGGATTGGCATCTGCATTCCAAGGCGTTGGACAGTCAAAAGGGGCAAGTATACCTGTCTTGTTCCAAGCATTTCCCAGATGCTTTTTCACTTGTCACTTTGGCAGGTGCTGGGATCAGCGACGAGGAACTTTGTGTGATTGATCCAGAAAAGGCCGGCATGCTGAGCTCTTGACATGAGCTTGGGAGCAACCTCGTAGAGTATAATTCTCAGTACAACTTGCATATAATGCTTGTACACATGTTTTCTTTTTTGCAATCCTGCCATTCCTTCAGAGCTTTTGCTTTAGGTGCCGCTTTCGGAGGATGGCTACCAATCGATCCGTTCTCTGAAGAAGATCGATAAAATGGTTGATTCCTGAGATGGTTCGATTTCTGCAACGGACAACCATTGATGTCATGATCCTTCCATTGCTTAGTGAAATTAGCTAGAGTTGTTGACTGATATGTAGTGCAGAAGAGTCCAGGAACACTGTTTTCTTTTTTACAATTTGTCATTGGTTAAGTTTCCCGAAAAATCTAGAAACCAAATCATTAGTGCGAGCGCTTCTTCAAGGAAGCTTCCCCCGCCGCCTTTAGGGCGCCTACTTGATTACTCGCTACTATACTACTATATGGCTACCTCTCCCTTACTTAATTAAGTAGGTGCCTACTTAATTAAGTAGGGAGGGGGGGAGCGGGCTTTAAACAAAACTGTTTGCATGCCGATTCCAGGCCGCTTTTGTGTCGCGGGTCGTTCAGCACTTGGGAGGTGTGATCCGAGGGGTGCGCTAAAAAGAGTTGAACAAACGCTTGTTCCACAAGGAGTGCATTGTTTGCTTCTCTTTGACAAGGAGTTTCTCTTTGTAGGTAGTTTCAGACTGGAGAGCCAGTCTGCCAGTCTGTGTGACCTGCTCCTTTGAGGCGTTGTCTCGGATCAGAAACAATTGCAGGACTTCGCGCAAAAGTTTGCACCTGAGTGTTTTGTGCTTTCGTGTCCTGTTTCCGCTTGGCCAAGCGGAATGGTCCATGGTCACTTTACCAGCAATCACCGGAGAGTCAGGTACATGACGACAGAGGCCAAGGCTTGTGATCTTCCAGTAATCCTAGTTGAAAATTTGATGAGATGCACGATTCTACTCCTTAAATGCATACAGAATCCTCAGACTGCCGGTCACTGCCGGTGCTTTGCCAGCAGACATGACCTGCTCTTTCTTCACCCGAGGTGTATGTGCGCAGGCTGTCGCAGCTTGACGCAAGCTTCACATCCATGGTGAGTGAACTTAGCCTGAATCCTGGCGTGTCTTTATTCATGTGTATTTCTCTTGTCATTGTGACCGTTAGTCCACTTTTTAAAGTCTTTTCCATTTTTGTCAAATAACCAGCATTTTTGCACCGAGGTCAGCACCCATCATGGGTTGACTGGGATGTTTGGCCCTTGGGACCACCGTCCTTTTAAGTTTCTCCGATGTGCAGAGACCAGGCAAACGCCGCTTGCATTGCAGATCGAGCCTCCGACGAGGGCAGCATCGGAGAGGCCTGGAAGGATATGTTTGCACCAAGCATGTCGACATTTCAGCTACTTTCTGGGACAGATTCGGAGAGAATTTGGGACTTTCATGGGTAGAATTTGGGTGGTACCTTTTCGGCTTTTGGAGATGTGAGAAATGAACGGCGAGGCCGTGGGTTATGTCTGTGGAGAGCTGACCAGCTTCAACTGCACGGACTTGCCCAGTTTCTGCAGTGAGGCATGGGATTTGGAGTTGAACTCCCTCGGGTACTAGTAGCTTCTTGTTATTAGTAGTACTTAATGCACTTGTTACTTGTAGCGATGCCCTTGTTACTAGTAGCTTCTAGCTAGTAGTAATGCCCTAGCCACTAGCAGTGTCCTTGCTACTAGTAGCGAT